AGAACGCAGAATACCCTCCCACCGTGGGATACCGTGCCTACTGGGGCGCTGACCCGTCCTTTTCTCTCGCTCACGCCTTCGGCCACTCCCTTGCCTCCTCACTCTGCGACTCTCCCTCCCCTGCTCTAACTCGCCCCCCCCCCCACGGTCCTCTCCGGCCCCTCGCCCCTCGCTCTCCACAGCTCAGCTCTCTGGGAAATACCCGCTGGGCCAGTGGCAAGAAGAGGGAGAGACAGTACTCCAGTTAGCATCTTCACCAACTTTCAACATGTGTGGGGGCTGAATTTGGCTGCAGCTAACTTCTCTCTTGACAGTTGAAATACGTCACCATTGTTTAAAACATTCTGGCTGCTTGAATACAATTGCCTTCAACTGCGTTTGTATTTTTCTGCACTGTTTGTATTTCCTCTCTCTCGCTGCGTCTCCTGTCCTGTTGTTGTGTGTTTATGACTGAGGGGTTCTCTGTCATCTCCTCTCTCTCGCTGTGCCTCCTGTCCTGTGTGTTTGTTACTGAGGGATTCGCGGGAGACACATTGAGAGAGAGGAAATCGGAGAGAAAACCTCAGTGATAAAAAACAGAAAGAGGAGAGAACAGACACTTATACAGAGCTTCAATTGGGGTTTGGGTGGGTACGGAGGAGGGCAAAAAGTTTATTTGCATTTGGAGATTTGAAACAATGTACAGGAAACAAATAATCAATGTACTTGTCTGTCCCTTGTGTCTGTCCGTTTTTTGTCTGTCCCACTCTCAGCCTGTCTGTGTGTCCACTTGTACCCTTCCAGCAAAAGGAATGTCTTCCATTATAAAGAGTTGTTATTGCCTGATGATGAATTGCATGGTTTACTTGTGTGTGTGTGTCTCTCTATCGCCCCTACCCCTCCTCGATCTCTCGTATGCAGGAATGCAGGATCAGGACTGTGACCTTAACAAGTGTTAACAAGCAATTAAGAGTAACGAGGACTGCTCTTGGCCCAAATCATGCTGTCCTCTGGCTGGCCACTCTGTAGCTGCAGGGCGCGCAGACTACTCCACTGTCTGCGGAGGGCTGTCCCATCAGTGTCGGCTTCTAGCCTTGACAAACACAAGACCCCCCCCTTGAAATTGTGGCTCTCTAGGCATCTCTTCACATCATGCCACTGCAAATAAACTAATTTCTCCCCATTATTAAACAACCAGTGCACCGGTCAGAGTGAGACCACGCCTTGCAGTCAGCACAGTGGATAGTTCAGCTTGGGCCTGGAGTCCAGGAGCTCTGCACTGAAATTCAGGCAGAGAGAACAGAGACTATGTTTCCCATCATCCCTTTGCACAGGACCTTTTTTGACCGATGCATTATGGGCAACCTCGTTTCCTTTGTCCATAGATTACTGACGGGGGTGAGGGGCCAATTTCAGTTGAACTCCAGACAGATGTACTCAGCTGTTAACACTAAAGACTGTGTCGAGAGAGATTTTGATGCTCATGAGGACAATTGACAGTGAAAAATAAAGCAAATGTCTATCCTAACGTCTCGTTATTCAAGGTTGCTCTGCGTGCTTGTGTGTGGAAGATGGTGTTTTCTGGAGAACGGTGGTTTTAAATATTCAGAAGTCGTGAGAAAGTTAATTCCTTTTTTCTTGAAATGTGTTAAGAATACCTACCTCCCACGTTCTCTCCCCAACAGAGCAGGAACTCCACTCCTGAAGCTGTGGCACCTTAATTACCCTGGAATTACAGATGAGGTCCAGAGTGCTGTTCCTCCGTTACTAACAAGTTTTAACGACAAAAGAGTTATTTGAAGAAAAGCGCCGGAGTAAACAGTACTTCCAGAGACATGTAGAACCTACAATTACTCAGCTGACTGACACACAGACACACCTTACAAACAGACAAAGCCATGTGCAAACTGACCACATTCCAATCAATTAACAATTAAGCCCCAGTACATACACCAGAGAGTTTCTTACAGTGCCCCCTAGTGGCATGCATGCTGTCAGTGCAGTCCTTTACATCAGATCTCCCCGAGGTCAGAGGTCAGAGGTCTGGCTGACGAGCCCCAAGGGGGAAGCTCACTCTGACTGCGCAGTGTTAAGACAGAACACTTTCAGACGGAGGAGGAAAAAACAAAGTTGAGCATGACCAGTTTAGGGTGGATTACCCAGAAAGATTTTGTATATCTTAGGACATTAATAATAATAATAATAATAATAATAATAATAATAATAATAATAATAAGGAACAGGTTTATTCCATGCTGAAAAGGAAGTGATGATAACAATCACGATAGCAATGATAATCATTATCATCATCATCATTATAATCCATTGACTTCTGGACACTCCAGTCAAAGCGCTTTACAGGTCATGGGGATCCCCTCCACCCCCACCAGTGTGCAGCCCCACCTGGATGATGCTCCAGTCCTCTCCCCACACACCAGCTCTCAGTGGGGAGGAGAGCAGAGTGATGAAGCCAGTTCAGAGATGGGGATTATTAGGAGGCCATGAGGCCAGGGGGAAGTTTGGCCAGGACACCGGGGTAACACCCCTACTCTTTCTGAGAGACGCCCTGGGACCTCAGTTTTACGTGTCATCTGAAGGACAGTGCCATTTTACCACATAGTGTCCCCATCACTGTACTGGGGCATCAGGACCCACACAGACTGCAGGGTGAGCGCTCCCTACTGGTCCCACTCACACCTCTCCCAGGAACAACCTCAGCTCTCCCAGGAGTCTCCCATCCAGGGACTGGCCAGACTCCCCCCGCTGAGCTCCAGGGGGCTGGCAGGTGTGAGCTGCAGGGTGATCGAGATGTTGGCATTAGTAGACGTTTGCCGCTGAAAACATTTGAACCAGAGGTGTTAATATCCTAAAAGGTATTCCCTGGCATGTGCTCGTCTGACAGACTAAAAGAACTGAAGCTTTTTTTGAGTCTTCAAAAGAGAAAGACTTCGAAGTGACCCGACACAGGTCTTCAGAATCACGGTCAACCCAGTGCACGTCTTCAGGGCAAAGAGCAAACCAGTGAAATAAACAGAGAAACACAAATCAGGCGCGATTTATAACTACATGGACAAGTTCACTAAAAACTGAGAGTGACAGGACATTCCTTTACACAAAGAGTGTTGGGAGCATGGAGCAGGGCCCCTCTACACTGTCAAAGCCGACACCCTGGTCTCTTTCAAGAAACGAGTGGTTGAGAACCCAGGAATAATTAGCTCCTGACACCCAGAGATGGTCTCCTGTCACCGTTCTCTTACTATTTATGTTCCAAAACAAAACTATAAGACAGTTTAAGAGCGAGCAAAACATATGTGAATTTTGACAAATGTTCAATAAATTTCACGGAGCACCCCGGTAAATATGGACTCTTTCAGCATAGAAGGTCTCATTTAACACATGCTGCCATTCCTTCTCTCCTACATATGAATGAATCCAGAGAAAGACAGATAACAGAAGCATGTATTAAATAAGAGTTTTACCATTAAGACTACACATCCCAGAATGCACTACATGTCCCAGAAGGCATGGGGGCACAAAGCATGAACAGTTACTGCCCCTAGAAAGGCCTAATTAAAATTCATATGAATTTTGCCCCTATCTCCCCCATCTCTCTCTTCAATATTAACATTCTGCACAAAACGATGCAGGAGGCAAAACACAGTACCACAAAACTTAGACAAACTGAATTTTTATTATTAATCATAATTATTTCAAATATAATACAAGAAAATATAAGAAGGTACTTCTAATGTTGTACCTGATCACATCTACAGTTATATAGGTTCTATTGACACCTGGCAAAAACCTGAAAAAATGAAGCCAAGCACTCTGATTCGTGGATCATCAAGTTTGAAAGATGGACAGCAATGTGGCTCATCGACACCGAAAAATAATTTGCAAGTTTAAAGACATGTGCAGAGAAAGGAAAACCTGAGTTATTGAAAAGAAAGACAAAGAAGAAGAATGAAAGAACACAGTATGTTTGAAAAAAAAATCGATTATATATCAGTCAGCAGTAAGCTTTCAGTTCATCATCTGATCGTAACAGGTCAACTTTCACTGGAGATGTTCAGGAATCGCACACCCCAGCCTCCTCTTCCAATTCCACTCTTTTGTGCTGTCTCTCTGTCCCTTAGTTCAACACAGTGTTGAAGTACTGTGAACGCAGTCGCTCAGTCATGTATCTGTCTGAGTTACAAGTATATTAATCACTGTAAATTTGATGTCTTTCATGTAGGTAGCTGTGTCAGCATGCGTAGGCTGCAAAGGAACAGGTAACAGGTTTATTCCAGGCTGAAAAGAGAAGAAAGGAAACACAACAGTTTCAGCTGTGAAACTTCTTGTCTTCTTGTCTCTTTGATCTGTATTATTCTCTATGTGTTATTTATTTCCCTAGGGTCTATATTAGAGTCTGTATTGCTTTCAGTGCGTGAGGAGTGTCTCTAGGGTCTGTATTAATCTCAGTGTGTAAAGAGTGTCTCTAGGGTCTATATTAGTGTCTGTATTAATCTCTGTGTGTGAGTAGTGTCTCTAGGGTCTATATTAGTGTCTGTATTAATCTCTGTGTGAGGAGTGTCTCTAGGGTCTATACTAGGGTCTGTATTAATCTCAGTGTGT